GGGGCTCCCGGCTTCGGCGTTTGGCTTCTATTTTATTACATTATTTTAGCAATTCACCCCCCACTTCAAAGTCCTGGATCCGCGCCTGAACTACTATAAAAGAACAATAGACTCAAGTGCCGATTGTCAATAAAACTGTACAGGTGAAATAACGAAGGATTGCAAACAAAGGATCAGCGAATGGTGTTTGCGTTAGACCAAATCCGAGACCAAATGTCTGTCAAAGTAAGGACAATTCTTGGTCAACAATAATAATATTAATACATTTTCTTTTTTTACTATTTTCAATCCAAGGAAGGATTTTAGTTGTACTTTATATTTGATAATTAAAGTATTTATTATTCTTTGCAATAATTGCGGTAAATTTATCAAGTCAAAATTATATAAGACCATATAAGTCTTAATTATTATGCTATCAACTGGACTGAGAATTTATTATATTTTTTGGTCACGGCAAGAATAAATGAAACTACATATTCTATATGTATCATTAAACCAAGAGACTACACTAAAAAGAACCCCGAGTGCACGCTGACAAGCGTCTTGTTACTTATAAAAATACAATAAAATGATATTTGAACATTTCCTAATTATTCTGTAAATTCAATATTATTATTTAGGCAAAAACAATTGTGCGAACGATATATTTTAGACTAACCCTGGGCTACCTGTGGTATTGAAGCGCGACATAAACTGAAAAACCAAATAGAGGAAAACCCAGGTCTAAAGGAGAGCGCGGTCAGACACGAGTTTTGATGTAGTTTCTGCACAATTATGAAATACGCCTGTATTTGCTTCCAAACATACCGCTGAAGGAGGTTGAAAACATATTCAAAGCTCTTTCTTGTAGCTTGTTTACCTTTATTATTCATCATTTTTATTCCCTTAATTTACATCATTTACATCATGATTATTTATAGTAATATCATTGCCTTTGATGTAACATTAAAATTAAGATTTTGCTGTTAAGATTGTCATTTATGCTGGGTTTCTTTCATATGTCAGTGAGGTTCACAGGCTGCTAGTAAACTTTGCAGTATTGGAACTTCCAAAGACGGTCCCTGTGAGAATAAGATATGAATCCAGCGCTTAGTATGTTTCAGACTCGCTAGTCCTCATTCGGTGTAGCGGGGGTATGGCATAATGTTTTTTCAAATGTGAGAGGGGGGAGTCGTCGTATGTTTTCCGCTTTTTTTCCTAATAGTTTCAACCCCACCTGCCCGATGATTATTGCGCAGTCCCTATAAGACCCTATAAGACGAAGCACAAATCATTTATATCGTATAACAGTGGGCAGAATGTTTGTGTTTTGGTGTATAAGCCGTGAGATGTTTCTATAATGAGCAAGAATGGCATTTCTCTTCATCCTAATATGTGAACGTGCGGCTACAGTTCATGCGGGAAACTCGCATTTTGACTTTTTTGAAAATGGATTTCAACGTTTCAAGCACACATTTTAGGTGTGAATCATGCCCTTTCTAAGCCGAACACGCTCATTATAGAAGGTGAATTGAAAACAATAGAAAACGCGTCTTGAAGTAACTTTCTATTTTTTTTTTGACCAGTTTTTTGACCAGTTTGAGGTTAAAATATATCAATTCAATTGAAACTACAATGTTGTCCATAGAGCGATGAAACAAATCAGTTAAAAAGGAAAAAAAATCCGCAATAATTTTCAAAATTGGAAAAACGCTAAAAACTACACTTTTTGAGACTCGCTGCATAAATACGGTGTACTGAAAAAAATCACATCTTCAAAACTGCCAAGAGAAATAACTTTATACTTGTACAGCGTTAAATTACAAGCCAAGCAAGTCTTCTGCTACAAAACAGAGCTTCAGATATTAGCATTTTACCATGAATATAAGCCAATTGTGAGCGTGTTCGTAAAAGCACAAAAACGCAACACATACACGTTTAATCGTTTTTCTCAAAATCGGCTGGAAGAATTTCCTTGTTTTTGAGATATATTATTAGCAATATCCTACAGTTGAACACAGTACTTTTGGTTTTTCTAGGTACCATCGAAATTGGCCGGAAAACAGCTTTCTTTGAATTCTTTCTTTCTACCATAAAACTGCTATTCTTTCAGTAAATCAAAAATCAATACATGTTTAAAAATTTTCCAACTAAGTACAACATTGCCTGTTTATTTTAGGAAAATCGAGTTACATTAAATTGTTCAATCGGCCGTTTAAAAATGTTAGGTGCGCGGGAGTGCCAACCACTATGAAACACCTTAAGTTTGATATGAAAAACGGCCCAAACGTTTAGTTTCCAACTCGTTGAGTATTTCTATAGGAAAATGTCATTTGAATTCCCTGAGTACTTAAGATCCGTTTCTGTGTTAGGATTATCACCTTTTCACCTTTTTGTGATCCAACAACATTTTTTTTCGATTCGGTGATTCACTGATACTAAAGTAAGTCAACACAATCATTATACTTTGGACTGGTAGCGTCTGAACGCAAATAGAGCTGGGCAACTTGTGATTTTGTGGAACACTCAAATTGTTTTTCACGTTTTATGTTCTAATTTTTAGTACTTACTCTTGACTGTCTCTGTGAAAACTGATTGCCCCAACGATGAATCGATTCCGTGGCGCCCGGAAATTGATATAGGTCCTCCAATTGTTCACGTAGCCACTGGTTTTACAGAAATGGGCATGGTGCCAGTAGCTGTGGCAACAATAGAACTTGTATCTCCTGGAGCACGAAGAAAATAAAACTTTCTGCTTATACGCGAATATTTCAAATACTCATATAATTAATGAGTTATTAGGGCAATAGAATGAGCCTATTTGGTCACATGCATGGACCTTTATACCTGATAGAGCGGATTTCGTATGAGTGGGACACCGTTACCGCACGGTTACCACACGGTTACCGCACAGTTACCGAACCTGGCCTGCACAATTTTGGTCAACCAATGGGGCACTAGAATTTGGTTACAATACGATTACGGTTACAGTACAGTACCGTCCGTTTCCCACTTATACGAAATCTGCTCTAAAGGTCATCCTTATTAGTATTCTTTATATAAAGAATTCCAACATAAGGCATATTTCGAAAAAAACTTCAGGACAAAATATCATTTGTAAGAGAAAATCGAAGTTAAAGTAGTATGCAAATCAGGACAAATCTCTTGCTCATATAAAGATGCGGTCACGGCAATGATTTTCCATTGTGTTTACCTTATGAATTATTAATGAATTTGATAAAGATTGATAGATACTTATATTAGTAAGTACATAGGTATAAAGGATCGATATTGCATGAGCGCGGGGAGATGCGGATTTTACAGAGGGCGCGGAGAGAGGGGGGGGGAGGGAGGGGGTGTGGGCTGGAGGGCCTGCCCCACTTTTTGCTTCCGAAAAATCAATAATAAAATACAAAAATACAAAAAATCAGAGCTCGACTATACTGAAGGCATATGTGACGACATCAAGTTGGGAACGTTTTATTTAAAGCTTACCATCTTTTAAAAGACTACTTAAGACATTTTTGTTTAAGAAAGCATATTAACTCTATAAACTAAAGTGACTATTTTGTTATTTATTATTATTATTATTTTTGTTTATATATTTAATATGTATATACATGTATATCATTTTTTTATATCATATTTTATCATATTATTGTAAAGCGCACGGGAGCATCTTTCTATGGACCGTGCGCTATATAAATGTTAAATTATTAAATTATTATTATTATTATTATTATTATTTTCAGCAGCAGACGTCTGAAAACCTAGCTAAGATCAAATATGACACAGCAACGATTCAGCAATCTCACGCTACTAAATTGCCATAAGAGGAAACAGAGGAGCTGAATGTCATTGCACGACTTCACGCTCCAAGAGCGTCTAGTTTAAATGTTATTTTGGATATTTAGAAATAGACGCTCTTAGAGCGTGAAGTCGAGCTATTTTGGAAAATTGAGAAAGACAGAATATTTTTCCCCGTCATTGCAGCAAGCCTTCAGAAAAGAATATCGTAGCGTGTGAATAAACATGATTAGAATTTTGAACAGTACATTAATAAAAAACAGTGAAAGTAACGCATCCTTGCTTTCAATATGTGTTAGAAGTAAAAAGTAATAGCAAAAATAATATGCTACACTATAATTTACATTCATTTATAGTCATATGATATACAGAATATTACATCATAATCTTATCGATCGTGTTTGAAACCTTTCCACTGGAAAAAATCGTTCACTTTAAAAGGTTGTAAATTTGATGTAAACATTATGTAAGTGTCCAAAATGTAAATTTGATGCTTAAATTTGATGTAAATTTACATAATTTTGGACACTTACATAATATTTACATCAAATTTACAACCTTTAAAGTGCTCGATTTTTTCCAGCGTTCATTCGTTCGCAAATAGCTAGCCCGACTTCACGCTCTAAGAGCGTCTAGTTCATGGTCTATTGCATTGAATACAATAGGTCATGTATTGAAATATTTCCACCATCCTCATTGTTCATGTTCTTACCTCTCTTTGTACTACGTAATTGTGATGATAATTTTGATATTAGAACGTATTCGCATAACCCACTTTTTAAATGCTAATGAGTTTTGCTAATATTCCAATGAGATTGACACAAGAAACAAAAGAGCAAAACATGCTTGAGTGATTTCAAAATATTACTATTTTGAGCTCAGTTCAATAAATACACAATTTCAAACGGAAACATTTTTATTATTAAAGTTAATCAATTTCAACAGTTATTGGCTACAAGATTGAAAATTCCTTGAATGTCAACAGATCGTTTCTTTTAAGCGGTTCATAATGTTAATTTAAATTGTTTTAAATAAATTGGGCGCATGGGAAGAATTATAAAACAAGCATTGCAGACATCCACAACCCGTCGATACCAGATTCAAAACCGATTCTGGACAATGAGGTCCGTTTCAGACGTCTATCTTTTGCCGCGTCTAATCTAATTACTTGCATGTAGTTTACGAGAAGTTGAGATAGCTGTATAGCTTAAATAAAAATGTTTCCTTTTAAAATTTTGCATTTATTGAACTGAGCTCAAAATAGTTTTGAAATAATATTCGCTACTGAAATCACTCAAGCATGTTTTTGCTCTTTTGTTTCTTGTGCCAATCTCATTAGAATATTAGCAAACTCATTAGCATTTAAAAAGTGGGTTATACGAACACGTTCTATTACTTGGCATTCTAGTTCATTTGAGCAGCAAACATGTTGCCCGCTTTGGTTTTAACTGCGAAAAGGTATTGAAATTTATTATATTATCTTTTCTCGTTGTACAATTTGCTCACCTGTCTTCATAGTAATTGTGATGGACACTTTCTATCCCGGCCAAAAAACCATGGTTTGGGCATGTGAAAACAATGGGCTTATCCCAGTCATTAATCCAGTGTTGGGACCAATTGCAACGCCTCATTTTCTTTGTGTATCGGTTAGATGCACAACCGAATTTGAACACACGATCACGGGCACAGGAACTGTAAATCGATTCAACTTTCCTTATTGCTTCTCCTATTTGTTAGTATAAAAAAGTTAAAAAAAGTTCATCAATCAATTTAGTATATTATGTAGTATATATCGAATCAAGTGATCTCCACTATGAAAAAAAAACTTTTAGCGATCTCTATTACACTGTGTGTAAGCCTCAAAACCATGTTATATGTTTCTTTTATTTGGTAACAATTCCAAGCCGAAATATAATTCCAAAATACAAGACGATCTTCGTGTCTAGAAGGCAATGAAAATAGTTTGAAATCTCACGAGTTTTATCTAAATTCCTGAATATTTTGAAGCTAACATAGTGTAAAAAGATCGCGAAACTCAACTATTCTCGATTGAACTGCTTGTTCTGCCAGTGACATCTACAAATTACACTGTCTAAATCGCGGCAAGGAGAGATTTTAGATTTTGACTATTAAACTCAGTTTAATAGAGTATTTCAAGGCTAATGGATAAACAGATAGAAGAATTTATTTAAAAAGTGCTTTGTACCACCCAGATACATTTTTATTGTCCAAATACTGGTGATAATTCTATATTTTATCCTTCTTTGTTTTTAATTGCTTTGAAAAGCGAATAGAATATATAAATATACTTTGCTACTGAAACTTGTGATATGGTGGATTCATCGGTAGCAGGGACAAATCGTTGTCATTAATTGGGGTTTCTTTCCTTAGTGTAGAACAATTTTCACCTCAGCTTTAAATATCCACAGATTCGGACGGGGGACCCGACACCTCTAAACCCAAAAACCATAATATTTTTGGCGGGACGTCCCCGTAAAAAAATTCTGGCAATGACGAATTTCTTCTGCACGGAAAAGGTAAAATACAGTTTTCCTACCTGCAGAACATTTGTATTTCAAACGTCCGTCGAAATCATTTTCCCATCCGGTTTGTTTCATTTTTGTGTTACATGGTGGAGCCCGTCTTCTACGTCTCCTAGTCCCCCACCAAGCTCCAGATGGACAAAACATGTCCACTATAATGACCATCAACAATAACCCCGCCACGAACTTCTTCATTGTTGGCTCGGTAGTGCCTGAAAAAAAAAGACAGATTACAATTACTGTCGCCTGCCATAAACGTTCGTTTGTTATGTTCAATTCGATGAAAAAGAAAATACATCTTTTGTTGACATGCGAACAAAATTATAAACATATTTATTAGGGACTGTGCAATAATTACCAGGAGGGGGGGGGGGGCATAAAACCAGAGGAGGGCATTACATAAAATTGTTTATTATATATATAACGAGACTTTCATAGAGTAAATGGCATAAATAGAAATCTGTATGCTATATTTTCACATGTGAAAAATAGCGATACGTCCAATCAGAAGCGCGTATAGCATTTTTCACATGTGAAAATATAACCAATCACAACACAGAAAAATCGTAATCAGCCAATCAGAAAGCGACGTTCACAACACTGAAATGGCTTCCCTCACATACCGTGCGTTGATGGCAAAATGGCTGAAGGTGAACTGTGTTTGTTGATCAAAATTCCACATTTGAAGAGTTTAATAGTGGACAGGAAGGCAAACAAACTAAAGCAAAGCAAGAAGACATGTTTTTTTTTTCAAGAGAATTAAGTTTTTTGCCATCCAGAATGAACATGAAAGCATGGAAAACATCAGCCAAAACTATAAACTTAAACGAACAGAAGTTTGTCTCGTTCGTGTTCACTGAGTTCAGGTCGTTTTATACCGAGTTTTGATCGTTTTCTGCAAAATTTAAGCTAATCTCCATGCAATTTAGAAAGACAGGACTTCAGTAAGACAAGACATGTAGCTGTAGGAAAGCTGAATCAGCTCAAACGAAGAGTGAAATTGCAGCGCGTTATCTTGCATACCAACCAAGAGAAGTAGGTTTCTCGACAAAGAACTTTTATTTCTTACTCTACTTACTATAAAATTTCGCTAAAATTTGTACGCTCTTGCAGCTTCAGTGAAAAATACGACGATTAATTTTGTTGTTTTTTTTTATCAAGTTTATTAAGTTCCGAATNNNTCTACTGAAACTTTCTTTTTCAGCAAAAACCTTTTGAAAGTTCAAATATATTTCCAAGAATTAAATTTTGAAGTCATCCAAGAAACCATATCATACCAGGTAAATAATGTCGTGATTGACACTTACTCGGCTAACTAACTTCAGCAATGCGCTGCGAATTGAATAAGCCTCTGCAGAATTCCCCAGAACAATACT